TGACACACATCTTGACTGCTGCAATCCTTCAAAAATGGCTGAACACATGTAATCGTTGATTAATAAACGTTACAGCATAATGTAGAATATTGCAGTGGGATTGAAAAAGTAAAGAAATCGAAAGCTCCTGAATTATATACAGCAGTTCTAGGAAAGACATATCTATTTAGATCTAACAATATACATAGCGGGGGATAGGCATCAGACAAACTTTAGATCAGTTCGGTACTGCATATGTAAACGATTTGTTTGCACAGAAAAAGTTGGGCGTGACTTTTGACATTTGTGTGAATCATCAGATAAGAAAGTTACCACTCAGTGCAGTCCATTTACGTCTAGGCCCAAGTGAGATGTACTTTTGACTCACAAATCATTGCGTTTTCTCATCACCAGCCACTGTCGGGAATCCGCGAAGACAAGTCAAAAAACACCTCAGATGCAATGCAATTAAATACTACACGAAACTACTTTCCATATTTCGACAAGGTTTAGATTTGGTAAGAACCAGCATGTTAGGTCAAAAGGGCTATAGGAGGGAAGAGTGAATGGTTCTCTCGCATATAACTACATCTGAGTTTCTGCAGGTGGTAGCTGTGTCATGGACCTCCACAAAGAGCTATTACTAGGATTACATTAAGGCTCAAAAGAGAAAATTCTTACGAGTAGCAGAAAATTATTCTTATTTATACGTAGAACTAGAATGCTTACTGTTCAATTTCCGTTTTTAAAGTAAGACGAGACTTATTTCAATCTGAGTAAAGCAGCCGCAGTTCTTGCTCAAAGATAGCAGATCTCAAAATCGATTGTTGCAAATCCAGCTACTAACATTTCTACTTGACTATTCTCCAAAGCAATCTCTTACATAAAGAGGCCACTTTCATGTGTTCATCATGTTCTGGTTAGGATATATGAATATCCCATCCTATGCTATCTACCAACATAATCAACACTTCTCCGGAATATTCTTTCAATGGACGATTTGAATTGATGTGTATTGAGTATTTAGAAATGTCAGGATATTTTATGCTCAAAGTTTCCATGTTGAGATGTTCAAGCATAAATGGTGGGTTTGTAGGAACTTGCATATATTCAAAATGCTTATAATTTACGGCTGTATGTTCAAATGAGTTGGAAGCCAAGTTGCACTATGCCAAAATTCCCATCTAATCTTACAAAAATACCAGTGCATACTAAATAGTAAAAAATGCCTT